TCCCTACTCCAAGGATCGACCGATTTCCTTCGTCCCTCCTCTTCTGGGGGCGAGCGGAAGCCCAATCTGCTTCCAGCGCCTTCCTGCTTCATGTTTCGACCCAATTCTTCCGACCGGCGTGTATTGGAGTCGGTGTCGTCAGCCCTAATGTGGACAGTCATGGGCTCAGTTTCTGGTTCGCGCGGCAAGCCCAGTCAAACATTCACGGTTGTCGGATTGGAGTGGGTGTCGTCAGCCCTAATGTGGAAAGTCATGGGCTCAATTTTTGGTTCGCGCGACAAGCCCAGTCAATTATTCGCGGTTGTCGGATTGGAGTGGGTGTCGTCAGCCCTAATGTGGACAGTCATGGGCTCAATTTTTGGTTCGCGCGACAAGTCCAGTCAATTATTCGCGGTTGTCGGATTGGAGTGGGTGTCGTCAGCCCTAATGTGGACAGTCATGGGCTCAATTTTTGGTTCGCGCGACAAGCCCAGTCAATTATTCGCGGTTGTCGGATTGCAGTCGGTGTCGTCAGCCTGAAATGTGGACAGTCATGGGCTCAGTTCTTGGTTCGCGCGACAAGCCCAGTCAAACGTTCACGGTGGTCGGCAGTCTGCGAAGAAACAGAAGGGGCGTCACCATCTGTTGCGTGGTACTCCTCCTGACGAGCGCATTCCCCCAGTTGATTAGCGCACCTCGTGTTACTTCTCTCCTTTCATGCTTCCTCCTCGCCGCACGCATGCTGGCGCGTATGCGTTGGCGTTTGGCCGGCCTCTTCTGGAGTGTGGTTTTTTGTATGCCAAAGTGTACCAGTTCTTGCTCTTCGTCGTCATCGTCTTCCTTTCTCCTCCGTCATCTTCCGTGCGCAAGAACCGCAGGGATCCAACATGTATCCTGGGCTCCGGCTTCACCGGCGTGTTCCCGTAGGGCCGTCCTTCTGGACGTATGTTGGTACCTTGCCCTGCCTTGGTTCGCTTGTTTTACGCGACGAGGTGGCGAGCAAAATTACCGCGTCGTGGTGAGCGACCGACCTGGTGAGCGACCTTCGCACCGTGCCTGGCTAGCTTGAAGCAAGTATCAATGTTGCTGTCGGTTGGCGCTGATCCTCCTTCTGATCCCCCCCTCTCCTCCTTCGCTTCCTTCTTGTGGGCTTCCGCCTCCTCCTGCTCTTCCTCCGCATCTTGCCCCTCCTCCAGCTGCTCCGCCTACGCTTCTACCCCTACCTCCTCGTTGATGCCGTCCTCATCCTCCCTTCTCCGTCTTCTACAACGCATCCTTGGACCGCTGGTCTCCGCGAATGGCAGCAAAAACGGAAGGGAGTTGAATTGGAATGCACGAGCACCGCCACGCTGACCAATCTACGCTTCGCCGACGACGTACTCCTGACCAGCCAAACTCTCCCGCGCCTGGCAGCGATGCTTGACAGCATTGTGTGCGCGACGAGGCTACACGGGCTCGAACTACACCCAAGCAAAACCAAACTACTGAGCAACCAGACGAGAAGGACCAGAAGGGCGAGCTTACCCACAGCACGTTTCCAAGACATGGATCTAGAAATCGTTCCATACGAGGGCAGTATCAAATACCTCGGCCAAGTGATCAGCTTCCACGAACCGATGGAAACGGAAATCCACCACCGCACGCGAGCTGCATGGGCATCACTCACGTCTCGCAAGCAGGAGCTGACCAGCAAACACTACCCAGTGGCTCACCGACTCCGACTGTTTAACAGCAGTGTAGCACCAACAGCTTTACACGGAGCAGAGACGTGGACCCTCACGGAGCCCCCACGGCAGCATCTACGACGGACACAACGACGCATGCTTCGCATGATGATCATCATCATCATCATCAGAAGCTGGCCCTCACAGCGGCCAGGGACATAATCTCGACGGCGCGAACAACGAAGCACGAGACCACGAAAACCGCACCAACAGCACCAGCGACGACGCGAACAAAAACCCATCACAGTGTGATGCACCTGACACGCCTGACAAGCACAGCGAAGACGGCGAAAACAGCACCACCGCAGACGAAATGAAACCATGGGTCGACTACATCCAGCGAGCGACACGACGCGCAAAGCACCTCATGAGGCTCCACCACATTGACACCTGGGAGACGCTGCACAAACGGAAAGTATGGCGCATGGCTTCACGAGTCGCAAACCACGACCGGGCGAGGTGGACATGGCGGGTGCTGCGCTGGCACCCAGTCCTCAACCCGCCCCAGCGGGGACACAGGCAGCATGGTGGCCAAAACAAACGATGGGACGACGAAATCACCACTTACTTACGTCAACGCAGACCAGACCTTCACCGACCGCCCACGCAAGCCAATTCGAAAGAACAGCCCAACGACATCACATGGACGCGAACAGCCCAAGACACCGAAGCATGGACAGCGCTCTAGCACCACTTCGCCGACCTCACGTCGACCAGCACCCGGGACTCAGACCAATGACGTAACATCTCAGCGAACGTCCTGACGTCTCGCCCAGACCGCGCCGACACCGACACCAAGGACGTTCTTTTCCTCCTCCTCCCCCTCTCCTTCTAATTCTTATATGTCTCGCATTACATGTACCCAGACACCCCAAATCCTAGAGGCCATGGCCACACCCACCTGGTCTGCTCTTGGCCCGGACGCTGTCCGTAACGTTGGCCGCATCGCATCGCATCGTTTTTTTTTGAGGCCGCACCCAGGTTCGGAAGGAGATAGGATGGAAAGGGAGGGGAAGGAGGAGGGATGAGGACCTCCCCGGAGCTCCCCGAGGAGGCCCTCAGATCAGACCGCGTCTGACACCAGGATGGCTCCAAGGGGCTCTCCATGGATCCGACCCCAGGATAGATTTGCCACGACCGCCGACATCAGCCAGAATTCTGAGAGATTGCTGGTTGCTGGCAATTGTGGTATGCTGCATAGTTCAGAGGACCCCGGACGAGCCACAGGGCGCCCAAGCAGTCGCAGGATCTCTTCAGGGGGCCAGAGCTCCCACAAGAGGGCCCCGTTGTGCGTTGGAGCCACTGCTCCTGGTAGAGTCTTCCCCGCTCTCTCTCTGTCTCTCTCTCTGTCTCTTTCTCTCTCTGTCTCTCTCTCTTTCGCCGGTGTTGCCAGTGGTGACCCTGGCCCCGAGGACTTGTCACGAAGCCCAGAGGGCCCCTGGGGCGCCAGATTGGGGCGGAAAGCTGGAGTCGTCTCTGGCCAGGGTCGCGTCTGCCGACGCCCGATTCCTCCTCGGCTACTCACCTTGCCCTCATGATCCAGTGCTCCAAGTTCACCTAAGCGCTGCGGGCTCAATGAGTCGACAGTCTGGCGTTGCGACTGGACCTGGTGGACGCGATCAGACGGGATGAGGCCGTTTTGCCACCGTGGCCATTGAAAAGATGCCCTCACCGTCGTCGCCGTCAACTTCGCCATCACCACTCGGCGCATCGTCCTCCTCATGTAGCTGTAGGTACCCCAGAAGAAATCAGTGTACCCCCGGCCATCGGAGCAAATTGCAACGCTTCTGGCACCAGAGCGGGGGCGGAAGCGATATCCCCTGCAGAGTCTTCCTCCTCCTCATCGTCGCCATCATCAACATCATCATCATCATCATCATCATCATCATCATCATCATCATCATCATCATCATCATCATCATCATCATCATCATCATCATCATCATCATCATTTTTCTCCTCCTCCTCCTCCTCTTCCTCTTTTCTTTGCCCATGAAGGCTTCGGGTTGGTTTCCCTGTCGCTGCTCTGGGTGTTTTCTTGGAGTTCTTGGGGATAGTTGAGGGTTCCGACATTTTCCGATTGGTGTCTCATGGGTTTTCTTATGGCCTTTCGGTGTTTTTCTTTCGGCCAGGTCCCAAGCGAGCGGCGAAAGTGATTATATATGTGTTTCGTTGTTTTATGTGCGAAAGATGTCGCCGGAGGGGAGCTGTCGAACATTTTATTTTGTTTTTGGTGTCGCCGGGAAAGGGGGGGCACTCTTTGCTTCCTGGGGTTAGCTACATGAAGAGGCGACGAAACATAATGCCCCTCTGGGACCCCTTCGATGCATCCCCCACCCTCCTCCGCCCCATAGGGAGTGGAGTGCGGAGGGCTCCGAGATGAGAGTTCAAGGGGGTGAGGGTCAGGCCAGGTGGATCACAAGGGTGGGGGGGCAGGGTCGGGCTGGGGTGAGACGCAGGGGCGTGGGGGTGGGGTCTCAAGCTGGGGAGTCCAGGAGGCGGGGGCGTCACACGGGGTGGAGGCCCAACGGGGGGGGGCGGTGTCAGAGGCTCGGGTCTGAGCCGCGAGCCGCCGCCGCGCCGCCGCCCCGCCCGTCACCCCCCCTCCACGCCCTCCCCCCACGCCCACGCACCGGCCCCCTCGCTGTGCCCTCCTTGGGCTCCAGGCCGCCGCCCCGGGGAAGAGGAGAAGAGGGGTGGAGAACGCGGGGCGCTGTCTCTTCAAAACGAAGAAAAAGGGAGGAGGAGGAGGAGGAGGAGGAGGAGGAGGAGGAGGAGGAGGAGAACAAGTGGCGCTGTCTCTTCAAAACGAAGAAGAAGAAGAAGAAGAAGAAGAAGAAGAGGAGGAGGAGGAGGAGGAGGAGGAGGAGGAGGAAGAGGAGGAGGAGGAGGAGGAGGAGGGGTGAAGAAGTGGTCCTGGCCCCCATACCAGCGCGGATGCCTGCAGTGCCAACCGCGGCAGCAGAGCACCCCTCCCCCAGAACGGCGCGGTGGAGATGGCCGCTACGCTCGACACCAACCTGAAGGACACCCCGCGCCGGTCGCCTGCGGCGCCTTCGTCGTCGTGCCCTCCCTCGCACCGTGCCGGCCCCGATCTCCGCCGAAGCGTTTTTTCTTTTGCTCCTCGACGCCAATCCGAGCGGTTCTCCTCGATGTCGGCCTCGGTGGCCCCTTTCCGGTCCGCAGGACGAGCAAAAGGCTGCCGAGGCGAATCGGGGGCGGCAAAGAGGGGCTGATGACTAGGGGGGGGATATCATGGCGTGGGCCATGATACTTCCCCATATTTCATGGCGCCTCTTCTTGTTTCATTACGTCCCTGGCCCCCCCCGCTGGGCCGCGCACGTGCCGCCGGTCATGCTTAGCACCCCTCCTCCTTGGACGCCCCCCCTCTTGGCCGCTCCCGAGCGAGAAAAGGCTGCCCCGGGGAAGGGGTCGGGACCCTCCTGGGGCCGCGCATTCGCAACGCAGCGGCGTCGGATACCTGGGAGGCTCCCTGCGGCCTCCCGTGCTGAGGCGTCGCGGTGCCCACCACGCTGGCCCGGGCGCCTGCCCGCCAGGCGGCGCCTGCCTGCCCGCCCGTCTCCCTCCTCCCGTCGGCCTCCGCGCCTGCCTGCCCGCCCGTCTCCCTCCTCCCGTCGGCCTCCCTCCTCTCCGCCCCTCCCTCTCTCGCTCCTCCTCGGCCTCCCCTCCCACTAGTCCCTCCTCTCCCCCTCCCATCCCCGGCCCCCCCCCCCTCTCGTCGCGAATACGCGCGGGGGCGGCCGAGTTGGGCCCCCCACCCCCGTCACCGAGGGGGTGGGGGACCCCCTCGGGGGCAGCCCTGCGTCCCTGGCCCCCCCTCTCTTCGCGAGAAGGCCCGGGGGCCCCCGAGGGGGTCCCCCGCCCCCGTCGCCAAGGGGGACCCCCTCGGGCGCTGGGGCTCTGGCCCCGGCCCCCCCCCCCCCCGCGGGCCGCCGCCGGGGCGCGGCCTCCTCGAGGGCTGGCCCCAGGGCGCTCCCTGCGTGGCTGGGCCGCAGTGCGGGCCCGTGCCAGGAAGCACCCTGCTTGCCTCCAGGGTGCCCTGGGCCTCTTGGGTTTTCATGGTCTTGCCGTGGGAGGCGCGGCGCTCCCACGCCAGACGTCCATGGGCGTCCTGGGGTCTCGGGGTTTGGGCTTCTTTCTCGGGCTTGGGCTCCTTCTGGGCAGGCTTCCTTGTGGACAGGCCTCCACCGCATCCCCCCTTTCTTCCCCCTCCTCCCTCCTCCCTCCACACCGCATTCCCCCTTTCTTCACCCCTCCTCCCCCCTTTCTTCCCCCCCCCCCCCCCTCCGCCCCGGGCCCGAGGCCACAGGCCTCCGCGCCGTGCCCCGAGACGGGCCCGCGGGCGGTCTCCCCAGCGGAGCGCGCGCCCGCCTCCGGCGCGCGTGCCTCGCCTCGCTTCCCGCCCCTCGCTTCCTGCCGCCGCGGCGGCGGCGGCGGCGCGCCGGAGGCCGTGGGCCCCCTCTGGGCGCCCGCCCCCGCCGGGCGCGGCGGGGCGCGGCCTCGCCGGGCACGGCGCGGCAGGCGTCCCTCGCCGCCGCCCCCGCGGCCGAGGTCGGGGCCGCGTCGGCGTCCAGGGCCGTGCCCTCCCGCACGCCGGCGGCCCGGGCCGCTCGCGGCGCGCGCCCTCGACGTCCTCCTCGTCCTCGTCCTCGTCCTCGGCGTCCTCCTTCCCTCCCCCTCGGGCCGGCGCCGCATCGCGAGTGGCTCTTTTGCCCAGGGTCAGGGGGGCGCTCGCCCGGCAGCACTTGACTTCTGAGTTGCCCCCAAGAAGGAAACCGTCCCCAGCCCCACCGGGGCAGTGCAAGCTGGCTCAAGAGGCGGGCGAGCGAAGCGGAGCAGCCATGCGCCAAACGCGCGTGGGCAAGACAGTGCGGCGTGCTGGCGAGGCCAAGCGCGTCGTCTGGCGGACAGGAAACGCGCCAAGCGCGCGACAAGACAGCGACGACGCGCCAAATGCGCGCCGGGAGGACGAGGGATCCTGCAGAGCCAGGGGCGCACTGGCCCGTGTTCGGGTGCAAGGTCCTGCAGGATCCTTCAGGATTCCTTCAGGATCCTGCAGGATCCTGCGCGGGTTTGGAGTGACCTGGGGCAGGAGATCCCCGATCTCCCAGTGCACCCGCCCCCCTTCTGAGGGTGGGGTTGCGTCGGGCATGTCCCTCTACAGGAGGAATATCCAAAGATAGCCAAAAAATGATAGGGGGACGATTTTTTTGGAGTATTTTTCACAATTCCGGAGTATTTTTTGAATATTTTTGATTTCGTCCAACATCCGCCTGTAGGGGGACATGCCCAACCGAAGGGTTGGGATGGGCGTCGTGAGGCCCGACGGAGGCGTCGCCCATGCCCACGTTGCGCTGCAGGGGGAGGGGCCTGTCAGCCAGCAGGGGCTCATGCTTCTCCCATGGGGGGTGTCTTTGCCCGTCCGTGAAGCGAGCACTGCTCCTGATCCCTCGGCACGGGCTCCCGCGCCATCGTCATCGTCATCACCATCACAGCCACCACCACCACCACCACCATCTGCAGCAGCAGCACCACCACCACCATCACCACCAGCAGCAGCAGCAGTATCATCACCACCATCATCATCAGCAGCAGCATCATCATCATCAGCATCATCATCATTATCATCATCATTATGTCGTCGTCATCATCATCATCATCATCATCATCATCATCATCATCATCATCATCATCATCATCATCATCATCATCATCATCGTTATCATCATCGTTATCATCATCATCATCATCATCATCATCATCATCATCATCATCA